ACCTCAAAGTGCACAAGCTTCAGACTTCAGCGTTGGCTGCGATTTTGAAGCTGAAATCGCGTTCGGTGTGAACGCACCATTAGAGTTATGTTCAGTTTTCCCTCTTCTTAGATTTTCGTTTTGGGGTCAGTATGTGATGAGGATTTCTCGCAAACACCAACCAACACAGATTTTAAGCCTAATATGTCTAAATAAAGTAGAGTTTTAGTAATTTATTCCTTTTAGCTATGGTGGCCATCTTGATTTTTTATTTTATTTTTCAGATACATCCAGTTTTAGYTCAATATGTATGCTTCGTAGTGCATTCTTCTGCTCCTACGCATTTGAATTGGCAGGTTTTTGAGATGCAACTGTAAGTGTTGTACATACAAGGTCACACATTCCCACATGAACATGTAACCTGTTATATGCTGTGAATTCATCTTTAGGCTCCGCATCAAGTTTCCTCCAGAGTTAGTGTGAAAGGGGAGTTGTTTTAGACTGCATTATAATGAAGATCATTATGCAAATTGTTCCTACCGCTGCCTTAATCGCCGCACTTATCTAATTAGTTATTAGGACCTGGATTTGGGTAATGCACAAAAATCTAAATGAAATGGGTAAACACTTAATTGAAAAACCCATTTGTTCAAATGAAGAGTTTCTATGAGCAGATATGCGGTGGAATAAAGCACTCGATTAGCATAATGGAAGATGTGATTTTCTGTTATTTCATATTTGAACAAATACACCATTTTCCCCTTCTTGTCCCGTCTTTAATGCCACCACTTTAGGTTTGTGCTGCAGCGTAAATGAGGGTTCTCAGCGTGACCCTTAATGCAGTTTGTTTTCATGACACCAATTATGCAAAATTTAAAAGAAAAACAAACCTAAAAAAATGTGGCAAATGAAATGATTAACGCGCATTAACTGACATCATCCTAATGTTTCCTCTAACTGCAGCCACCTCAGCCTCCTCATCTGTGTCTCTCTGTGCAGTTTTCAGGGGAGGTTCCGGAGAACAAGGTGAACGTGGTGGTCACCAACCTGACGGTGGTGGACAGAGATCAGCCCCACAGCCCCAACTGGAACGCYGTCTACCGCATCGTCAGCGGAGACCCTTCTGCTCACTTCACCGTCCGCACCAATCCCATCACTAACGAGGGCATGCTGACGGTGATTAAGGTAGAGGAGAAGCTGCACGCTCCTGATGAATTAATGAACGAATAGGCGCACATCTGTYAATTATTATTAATCAGTGCATTATGTTTCCACCCGCTTTGATTAGGGTCTTAATAGTTGAAGAATTTCATTGTTTTTTTTTCCATCTGCAGCTCTTCCTGCATCTAACCATCAGTAATGCTCGCTCATTATTTCACTTTCTGTGTCCCACTCTCMATCCAAACTCCGTCTCCCCGTGGTYCCCCYTCCCCAGCCGGTGGATTTTGAGATGAATCGTGCCTTCATGCTGACTGTGGTGGTGTCCAACCAGGCCCATCTGGCGAGCGGCATTCAGTCCTCCCTTCAGTCCACGGCAGGAGTCACCATCTCTGTTCAGGACGTGAACGAGCCGCCCGTCTTCCCCGCCAATCCCAAGATGATCCGTTTTGAGGAGGGCGTGCCGGCGGGGACCACTCTGACYGTGTTTGCTGCCCAAGACCCCGACCACTTCATCCATCAGATTGTCAGGTACAGAAAAGGGTTTGACGTATTGGATCCTGATGACACAAAACTGCACGTTTCTTTTTTACCCTTAGTTTGAAAAATATTATCATTCAGATGAAAAGTAGGAATTTAACCAAAAACACTGCAATGCTCATGATGGGCCAATAGGTGGTGACAAACTGAAGCCAAGGAGGTCTTTATATAACAACTGGAGTGAGTCCTGACCACATGATCATGTGATCTACTGTCGAAGCTACAGCGCTAACCAGAAAGTGCACCAGTTTGGATTTACCTTTACGTGTTGGCAATAAACAAAATAAAAACGACTGATGATGTAGAAATTWTAAAAACTATCAAATTATTCAYAATAAATWAGAATGTAYTGTATATAAGTTATCTAATSTTTAAAARTGCCAGAAAGCTGTGTGTGTTATGGATGTACCAACAGAAGAGAAAAAAATAAACTTATTTACCTCAATGTGGATGTGATCTGACTAGAACTGAAGSTGATAATGTAACAGTTGAAAATGAAGATAAGCTATTAAAGCTKATTTARTCATTSTTAATTATTGAATTGGTTAGCATATTAGCTTCTGTAGCATATATAGCCATACAGAGTGTAGCACTCTGCTGAATCATGCTACAATTTAGCACAAATTTCAAACTGGATTTGTTTCTGATTTATGTCATATTTACAGTGTAAAATGTTATGTATTCGACTATTTTTAGGTTTCTATTAGACAAACCTGACCTGTTGAGAAGATGGTTAGCCAATAGCAGTACAAGTTTTAGACTAAATGTTTAGATTCATTTATTTATAAAGTTTATTAATTTTTTAAAACAACATAAATTCTATATACAATAAAAATACAAATCACAAATGAAATGAAAGGAAGCAGAAAAAGTTTAAAAAAAAACCATATAAAAGCTGCCCCTTTTTTTCCAAGAAATAGATTCAAACAATAATAATCTTCAAAGAATAAAAACAAAACCAAAAATGTTTACTCCTTTTTGAGCAACAACTCATATAGATTCACATTATACTATTTCATATTTCTTCAACAAACCAACTTTTATCATTCTCTTATACCCCACCAGTTGATCTGGTTTAGATCCTTGTTACTTCTAACCTGTGTTTTTCCTGCATGTATCTAGCAGTTTTACATGTTTGTTGAATGAAATTAATATGATTAACAATTATTAATTAATTGTATAAATATTACAGATAATTTGTGACACAAACAATCGAACAGTTGCTATGACGACTGTGCAGAAACCTAAACTAAATTATTAAAGCTAACTGGTTCACGTTGTGTTCAGGGAGCTTCTGCAGTTCTTAAAGTNTATTCGACTATTTTTAGGTTTCTATTAGACAAACCTGACCTGTTGAGAAGATGGTTAGCCAATAGCAGTACAAGTTTTAGACTAAATGTTTAGATTCATTTATTTATAAAGTTTATTAATTTTTTAAAACAACATAAATTCTATATACAATAAAAATACAAATCACAAATGAAATGAAAGGAAGCAGAAAAAGTTTAAAAAAAAACCATATAAAAGCTGCCCCTTTTTTTCCAAGAAATAGATTCAAACAATAATAATCTTCAAAGAATAAAAACAAAACCAAAAATGTTTACTCCTTTTTGAGCAACAACTCATATAGATTCACATTATACTATTTCATATTTCTTCAACAAACCAACTTTTATCATTCTCTTATACCCCACCAGTTGATCTGGTTTAGATCCTTGTTACTTCTAACCTGTGTTTTTCCTGCATGTATCTAGCAGTTTTACATGTTTGTTGAATGAAATTAATATGATTAACAATTATTAATTAATTGTATAAATATTACAGATAATTTGTGACACAAACAATCKAACAGTTGCTATGACGACTGTGCAGAAACCTAAACTAAATTATTAAAGCTAACTGGTTCACGTTGTGTTCAGGGAGCTTCTGCAGTTCTTAAAGTAGGTAAACTTACTTTTGTGTACTTTTGTGAATGTGTAGGCCAATATAAAAACTATGACATCAATATTGATGACACTAACATGCAACTGGAGTCACGTTTCTCTCACTATCAGGGAACTATAGATCAAATATGGATTTTCTGATTGATTACTGCAGTTGTCCAACATGATGTCTGAATTGCCTGAAGACGTTAAACTTTGTGGTTTGGATTTAAAATTACATATTTCCAGTATTTCGTGCATTTCTGCATGAATCCTCTCGTATATTTGAAGATCACCAGAGTTGAATCAAAGCCGAGAGCTTTTTTTCTCTCTTTTTTTCACAGTTTATGCTTCTTCTGTGACATTATCAGCTGATCTACCACCCACATCCCAGTTGCCTCCCTGGTTGCCAGACGAGCAGTGTAAAGAGGTCATTTTGTAACGAGTTGGACACCAGCAGTCTGTCCCTTTTTCGGATCCCTATCTTTGCCCTTATTGATCCCCCTCTCCTTTCTAACTCAGACGACTTTCAGCGGGCACGGTGCCGTCCAGGCATCGACCCCGGGTGACAGAAACTCCCACGTGCCCACCGAGTCCCAGCAGCACCACTGCCAACTCCAACGAGATGGATTTTTCTTAATGTCACTGAGGCGGGCAGTGGAAATGTTACCAAATTGATGGGAAGAGAAGGACGGTGGGCAACGTGCTCGTGTACAAACCGTACCTGAACGTCTCCTTCTTCCTCTAAAAGGACCAATTATGCAAACCAGGTGGACTGGAGTTCATCTGCCCTTTGAGAGGAGTAACTCTTCCTTTACTGCACTCGCTTCCTGTCCCACTCCCACCTGCTGACCTCGTCGTTTTCTTCTCCRTCAGTCTGTGTGTCTTTTATTGACACGAGCTCAGAGCTGATGTCTCCTCCRGAGCAGTTTTTTGTTGTTGTTTTTGTTGTTGTTTGCTAGCAGACGCTCGGCTCGCCGCGGTTGCAGTTCCCTTCAGGCGACCTCGCTTGAACCTTCGCACGAGGCATGCACAAACGCCAAACACACGCTGCTGGATGCGCACCGATGTGCGGGCGAGTACCTGCAGAGCATGACTGAAAGCTCTGTGCGTGCACGCTGGATGGGAGAGCAGCCAGCTGGGGATATATTTATTTAATTTTATGTTTCTGATTTTCTTGCCTTTTTTCCTCTCTGGAGAAAAGACAAAACAAGATGATGTGAAGCCAAGACTGTTTGCCAGCTGATTTTATTGTTTGATGGGATTTAAATGGCGCCGAGCCCGAGTATACAGTATGAGGGCTTTTATGTGTCGGTTTCAGCCTTTCTTGTAAGTGTAGATCATCAGTCTTTACAGAATGTGGATTTGTATTTATTTATTTGTTTTTATGATGTGAGAGCATGCTTGTGTTTATTCAAATATAAAGGTTTTGGTTTGGAGCTCTCGGGTTCTGCCAAATCTGAGCAGTAATTCTTTAAAGATGGATGCTCAGCAGAGATTAAAATTCAAATATCAAGGCGGCTGAGGTGAAGATCATAAACATCCAAGATTTGGATAGAGGCTGCATGCTTTCAGAAAATATATGCTGTTTTTTAGTTTAGTTTTGTTTTGTTTTTGTTTTTTGTCTGGCCTTGTGATTACATCAGTTGCAACAAACCTACATTTTCTTCCCTGCTCTCTGTTCTGTCATAACACTAAAAACTCTTTCTCCCTTTGCTTAAATATTTAGGCCGCCAACTCTTTCAATTGTTTGTTATGTATAATAACATTGCAATGACAATTCAGGATATTTAAAAAGTCTACTATAACGTGCACAACAAATTTTGTTTTTCTTACACGTTCAGTGTATCTAAGTTTCATTTCGACTTTACTGTTTTGCAGTGRTGGGTAGCATTAATCTAAATATTAGTTGCACTAACCCTAAAGCACTAACTCAAAATTTTAGGTCCCCTAATTCTAAAGCACTAATATAATCCAGTTGACACATGAAACATTCTTCAGTCAACATGASACAATATTTACTGTGTGCAGAATATTGTCACTTAGTGTCCTTGGCGGGCCAAATGGGAGTCAGCCGCAGGCCACATTTGGCCCGCGAGACTTGAGTTTGACAGGTGACCTTGTAGATAAGTGACACACATATGAACAAAATGTATGACCGCTTTCACCCTCAGCTGTGAACATTGATGTTGATCAATAACATTTAAAGAGCTCAGTTAGTGCTTTAAATTTAGCCCAAAAATTTAGCAAGTGCTAATCCACTGATGAATTTAATAAATAGCAAAAGCCCTAAAAGCACTAATCAAGAAATTAGTTCCCCTATTAGTGCTTTAGTGCTTTAGGGGAACTGTGCCCACCACTGTTTGTTTGTTTGTTTGTTTGTTTGTTTTTGGCTTGCTAAGGTGCAAAAGTGGTCTGTGGACCATCTCCATCCACGCCCCACAGTACTCAAATCAAAAGAAATCAACTCAAAGTCTGTAAAAACAAACATCTCATTATAAAATTGACAAAATCCTCTTTGCTTTTTAAATAGTTTCTGACAGAGCGTAATTTATTTTTTTTTTGATCTAAATCAGGCCTAAAAGTACCTTTGTAATGATTTTGTGATGGCACCCCTACTCATTCCAAAGCAACAACAAAATAATTGTGTTGTTTTAAATTAGAAGCTGAAACCTTAATTTCAGTCAACCGATTCATTTTACAAGCATGATGCACATTAGATATACCAAACTGTTTTCATTTTAAAAAAGGATTAGATATAAACAGAGTTACTGTAGAGACTCTATTTCATTTCAATGTGTGGCCCTTGGATCCACTTACCTGAATGAAAATGGTTCTCCAACTAAAAAAAAAACTGTTGCCTACTTCGGAAATAAAAAAATAAAAATATTTAGAGTTTTGGTGGCAATGGGCTGCAGAAAATGATTTTTTCTGCTTTAGGAAAATCATCCTAAATGTCACATGTGGAAAATCACCTGTCAAATCATCTTCAGTTAAAAACCCAGCATTCCTTGCCTGTCACCTGCCACCTTTCATAGTTTGATTCTGAGATCATATGTTAGGAAACCAGAAGTTTGCACTCATTTTAGTGAAATCTTAAAGTATTATTAATTTCATGCAATGACAGCATGACGGTTCAGTGGTTAGCACTGACGCCCCACAGCAAGAAGGTCCTGGGTTTGATCCCCCGTTCGGACCTGGGGTCTTTCTGTGTGAAGTTTGCATGTTCTCCTCGTGCTAGCGTGGGTTTTCTTCGGGTACTCCTGTTTCCCCCACCCCTAAAAACATGTACAATAGGTTGCCTTCAGGCCCAGGCCTCCCTTGAAAAAGAGATTGGAGATCTCAACGGGAATTGCCTGGATAAATAACGGAAAATAAAAATAAATAAATAAAAGTGTCAGGTGATGTCATTCTCAGAGTACAAGTTGTGAAGGATCAAGTTTTAGCTCATGCTTGTAAAATTATAATTACATGCCTATAAAAACACCTTAAATATATTAACATAACTAATTTGATCCTCAGAATCCTAAACTAAAGCGTAGTGAAAGTCTTCAAAAAGCATTTCACTGCTTTGTTCCAAATAAACACAACGGGGTGGGGGAGAGGTGGGGGTGATGTCTTGTTGTCACAGGAAGTAGATGACGCACCCGGCACATCACGCAAACAACAGAAAATCTATTTTTATTCATCTGTTTCTTGCGTTCTCTCATAAGTGAGGCATTAGCGAACTGCGACAGGTGTTTCCGAGCGCCTCGTACAGCTGCTTAATGTAAAGCTGCGTGTTGCAGCAGCAGTTTGTGTCTTTAGCTGGCATTAGTTCTCCTGAATGATGGTGCGAGTCACGGCTAACCGCTCTCAGCCTCCGACGCAGTCTTTTAATTAAGCCCCCGCTCATGCCTGTCATGTTCCACTGCCCGTGTTTACGGAGCAACACGACTGTGCTCTCTCTCTCTCTCACACGCATGTGTCTGGACCCACGTCGTGTCGTTACAGCCACCCTCTAACCCTCGGGCGAGGCTCGTCCTCGTCCACCATTAACCATTTCTCATTAGGCCTGACACCCTCCCTCCACTTGGCCAGCTGTTTAAAGTCCTCATCATGTGTTAATGAGATTTATCGACTTAAATTGAAGCTGTTGTTTTCAGAATCGACTCATGATGACAATAACTGTTGCTATGGCGCCTGAGTGGAAACAAAGAGAGTTGGGCATTTCCACACACACAGACTCAGGTTTTCTTCAGGCGTCATGCTAATGAGCCTCTGCGTTCCGAAGTTTGGAGAACATATGTTCCACTCTCTTTGCCACTGTGGAGTTTCAGAGGGGGCCTGGCTGCCGTCGCTTATTATGCTAATCATCTTTCAACCGTAATGGGCACTTTGGATCAGCAAACAAATGATTCTGAGCTGCTGCTATTCAAGTAATAGTAGGCTGGAGAATGTGTGTGTTTTCATTGGAATTGAATGAACTAAATGTTTTCTGTTTTTTGTTTTTGTGGTTTTGTGTTTGGGGTGGCGGTGTGCAGATACTCCAAGTTATCAGACCCAGCGAACTGGTTGAAGATCAACAGAACCAATGGTCAGATTACCACCATGGCCCTGCTGGACAGAGAGTCTGTGTATGTCAAAAACAACATGTATGAGGCCACATTCCTGGCGTACGACAATGGTAAGTCTGGTAAGTCAGGATGAGTGTGTGTCTTGTGATAATCATTTAGTTTAACAAGCAAGATAATAACTGCTGTTAAATATCTTCTTGTGAGGAAAATACTGCGGTCATCCTTATACCTATCCTTCCTTGTACCCATGTCCCTCAGTACCCATGTCTCTCAGTACCTATGTCCCTCAGTACCTATGTCTCTCAGTACATATGTCCCTCAGTATCTATGTCTCTCAGTATCTATGTCCCTCAGTACCTATGTCCTTCTGTATCTATGTTCACTTGTACCTGTGTCCCCAGTATCTATTTTCTCCAGCACGTTTTTCTCCATATACTGTACCTATATTCCCCAATACTGATGTCTCCAGATACCTTTGATCCCCAGTACCTGTGTCCCCCAGTATCTATGTTCCTCAGTACCTATGTCTCTAGATACCTACGTATGTTCCTCAGTACCTATGTCCCCAGTACTTGTGTCCCTCAGTATCTATGTCCCCTTGTAGATATGTCTCCAGGACCTATGTTCCCCAGTAGCTTACCTATGGCCCCCAGTACCTATGTTACTCAGTACCTGTGTCTTAGTACCTATTCTCTCAGTATATATGTTCACTTGTACCTGTGCCCCCCAGTATCTATTTTCTTCAGTACCTTTGTCTCATGTACCTATGTTCCCGATTAATTATGTTTCCAGATACCCATGTTCCCCAGTACTTATGTCTCCAGATACCCATGTTCCCCTGTATCCGTGTCCCCCCAGTGTCTATGTTCCTCAGTACCTACTGTATGTCCCTTAAGTACTTATGTTCTCTAGAAGCTTACCTATGTCCATTAGTACCTATGTTTTCAGTACCTACACTCCTGTGTTCCACGATACTGGTGTTTCCTGGAACCTATATCCTCCAGTGCCTATGTTCCCTGGTATCCATGTTCCCAAGTATTTTTTTCTCCCAGAACCTATGTTTCCCAGTAGCCTATCTTTGTGCCTTAGTACTTTTGTTCCCCAGTTCCTATGTTCTTCAGTTCTTATGTCCCTCAGAACCTGTGTTCCTTGGGGATAACAATGAAAATGAACAACAGGCTGCCCTTTTAAATGTGTTTTTAATACTAATGTAAAGCAGCTGAATTAAAAGCATCTGTTATGACTCTCATAAGTAAGCTCAGGAGAACATAAGTACTGGAGAACATACTGTAGGTATACTTCCAAAAATCTCACAGATTTTGCTGGTTGTTTCAAATTCCTGTAGTGCCATCATACAGAAACATAGCCATCAACATAAAGCTGGGATTTATGGCTTCAGTGGTGAATTTTAAAAAGTATTTTAAACAGATCATTTTAAAAAACATTTGGTCCTCATCTAAGATAAATTGTTACAACTTGAATCAGCTTTTCAGGTTTTAACAGGTGAAAATGCTGCTTTTAGCTCAAAGCATGTTTGTGCAGCCGTACAAAGCTGCTTGGATGCTGTGGATTTGTTTCATTTGATTAAGATATCAAAGATGTTTATTTTCTCCTCTTCTTTTCTTTTGTTTTCTTTTCACAAAATCAAAAGTCTAAGTGAATTAGAGCACCAGCAGTCATATTGAATCACATCTTAATCCAATAACGTTGCCTCAGACCTGTTTCTTTCTATTCAGGCGGGATGGTTGTAGTTTTTTTTTTAAGACTAAAGGTGGATCTATACTATATTTCATTATTCTGCTTTTTATGTGTGGAGCGGCTGCAGAGACTCAGCTTGTACAGGAAAGCAGCCCTCAAATCATGTCGAGTCAATTTAATTTAAAAATCTGAACATCACAGATTTGCCCCGGAGAGGTTTTAAATCTGTGCAGCATTCGGCACCCTCTGTTCTTTACCCTCTGTTTGGCTTAAGAATAAAACAAAATTTACGGGAAATGTTTAAACAGGAGAAATCAAAAATACCTGAGGGTATAAAGATATTTTGAGAAGGATAAAGCATAGTGAATGAAGATGACCGGTTTGTTTTATAAGGAGGAGAATCATATGTACGTATTTAAAACATAGTATGATTAAAGGCCCAGCAGGTGTTGTAGTTCAGCATATCCCCACCACCTTTCATACCTGAGTTTTAGACCAAGGCTGCATTCTTACTTCAGATCTTAAATGTCCAGTTCTGATTTTTAGCTCTGATACAAGTTGTTTGTGTGTTGATTCACATTACAATGTAATAAGGCCTCCATTAAACTTCAGTGTGAACTGTCCTTGGCCCTAAGCGACCTGTGAGAAGGCTTGAAATATGGATGCTACATGTTAGCATGTGTGGATCCATTCTGAAGTTGTTGTGCAATCAGTGCCGACTAAATTATTATCTGACATGCTTGTTGGTCCAATATTTGATGATGCTGCTTCCTGCCAACTCAGGTGCAGAATTACATATCTGGAACGGGAGCGACTGAAAGTAGAAGCAAACTCAAGTATCGACCCGTCATGCTGGTATCGACATGATCTGACACAAATGATGGCATGATACGATGCCGGAGATCACTGGTCATCCAGTTTAAAAATAAAATATGAAGCAACTGCACTTCTGTTCTGTAGCTGACCACGATTTGGGTTGCTTTTGCCAGCAGTGTGAATCAGAGACATGTGCAAGTCTTTTTTTGCAAGTCCAAGTCAAGTCTCAAGTCTTTGACCAAAAATCCAAGTCAAGTCTCAAGTCTCTTGACCTCAAGTCCAAGTCTTGTTGCATGTATCACTTAACTGGCAGTTTGATCAAAGGTATTCTAACTATACTAGATTACATTCWACAAATAGTGTTGTGTTCTAATAATACTATTAAAACTGGAGCTGTGAAATTAATCGAGTTAACTCTGATTAATTTTAGTGCTGCATGGGCATAGATTAAAAATTTTAATYGCGATTAAAATTTACAATCGTTTTACTGTGGCTGAATATGTAGGTTTGTATATTGCAATGCACTCAGTGCATGCCAGGTCATGTTTGTAAATGAGAAGAGGTTCTCAAACTGTTTACCTGGATAAATAAAGGTTAAATAAATAAAATAAAAATAAAAATAACTCCATGTGTAACACATTATGTACAGTTTTTTTTCTTCTCATGACTTATTTTATTATATTTATTTATGTTTTGCTGACAACTGTGGCCTTAGTATCTATGTTTCATTCCTCATGCGCTCATTTGGAATGAAAATCCCTGAATTCTTGATTTAACCTCATTATTCTGCACAAAATTTAACTGACTCAAATATGTTTGAAGCATTGTTTAAGTCCTGTTTTATTTTCAAAAAGTCATGTCTAAGCATCAATTTTGTTTTCTAAATAAAAACATTAAAAACTAATGAATAACTCAAGTAATTTATTTTATCAATATACAATAGTATGTTAAATTTAAGATTAATCATGATTAATTCACAGCTACTTTGGGATTAATCARATTAAAAATATTAATCATTTGACAGCCCTGTTTTAAAAATGCAGATAAGTTTAAGGTTGAAATGACCACAATCAAGCATTTAGAGTATTGTTAAGTGTATTTTGCACATGTAGTCTTACAAAAGCTTTATGTAATTATATCTTGCCATTGACAAAGGACAATTCGAACAAGTCTGCTGCTGATTTTACAATAAAATACTAGAAAAAATATTTTTAAATGGATGAAAGCATGTCAGCGAAGATAATGAACCAGAATCATTAAAGTAAAAGGGCTGCACAAGTCATCACAAAAAAAAAATTGGATTTGGTCTCCACACGCTTTGCATTTTGTCTTTAAAAAGTAATCAGATGTAGACGTTTGAAACCACGTCTCTTCAGTCAGTCCTGCCACAATCACACCTGCTCACTGTGTCATCAGCTGAGCTGTCTCCTACCTCATCCTCAGCCCATTTACTCCCTCCGACTCCAGTCTCACATCAGCCGAGCACTGTTAGCTCCTGTGCCAAGTCCAGTTTCCCTAGCACCTTTCTGTAAACCCACATCAGCCTGTTTAGCATATTAAATTTCATATATTTTTGTGCCCAACTGCATCTTCTGGGTCCAGCCTCGTGCTAACCATGACAGAGTTTCATAACTATAACATGGAGAGTAGAGAGGCCTCACTCTGTTTAAGTAGGACAGATTCAGGTGTTTTTTTTTTTTGTTTTTTTTTTTGTTTTTTTTTCTCCAGTAAGAAATGAGGGATTCATGATCCTGGAGCACACTGGCTGGCCGACCAGAGCTTAAAGTGTTGACTGCCTATTGATCCTGCAGACCAGTGTCAACAAGGGGATACATTCGACTTGGATTGAAATTCTCTTCATTTATTCTACTCAAGYGAAGCGTAAGAAGCTACAAAGCACGCAGCCAATCATAACCGACAAGACAGTCGATGGGCCCGGGGGCTCGGAGCAGCAGACCTTTACTTAGCTGATGTGCCAAATAAAAAAAAGAGAGTTGATCTAAAACCCTGATGAGCTGCTAGAGTAAAATCTTTCTGTGCTGCCTGCGTCGCTGCAGGAATTTAGATCAACCTGCTGACAGTCGGTGCGAATGGAAAAATCAAGGCCACAATAAATCATTGTTTAMACATTGTTCGTTCAACTGTGCAGCTCGTACAGTACCATCTTCTTGTTGTTCAGGGCTGGGATGGCATGAACAGAAAATACTTTTATTCTAGTTGCAGGAATAAGACACTTAAATTAAAGTGTTTCTTTTTTATATATTTTAAAATAAAAGTATCGTCTCAATAACATACTTAGTGGATTTTATTTATTTATTTTTTAAACAAGGGACCACTGAAAGTTCTGGGGTGGCACCAAAACCAACAGCTAGAACAGAATTTCAAGAGATTTATTATGTTGTCAAAAAATACAGCAATACATTAGAGAACAACCTTTTTACATACAATGGTCTACTTTATTTATGTGCTTTTATTTATCTATTTAGAGTAAATTAAAAGCACTCTCAATATTCAAATTGTTGGAAAATAAAGGAAGATAAAATGGTCTGGACAAGGGAGGGCCAGTGGATGGGGTAGGGGTTGGGGGAGCCCTTTTTTTAAAGTG